ACAAACTAAAAGGATTCGTTGATCAGAGCGATCAGATATCAGCTTACTCTCCATTTGTGCGTCTTACAACGAAATGGTATTTGAGAATTTTCTTCCATTTCGTCATCCAAACAGCAGTCGTTAACTCGTGGAGACTTTTTTGTGACACAAAAGGAACTATTCAGCTCAATGAATTCAAAATGATTCTTGTGGAATCTTTACTTCAAGATATCTTCAGTGAGCCCCCCTCTCCAAGAACGACTCATAAGTTGGAAAGATCTGAGAGCGGTTCGAAAGAAAGCAGGAGAAGATGTACAGGTTTCTACAAGGAACTACGAGAAGAGAAAGGTCGCTCTTATGCCATGAACCATGAAAAAAATTCATGTCAAGGTGCAGCAAGTGCCACAAATACTATTGTATTGAATGTTTCCTGAATTATCATAAGAATTGCGTGTAATTTTTTTGTCGACAGCCTTTTTTTGCTTCTTTACCAATGCCCTCAGCAGTAACTTTGTTTTCTCTTATTACTAAAGCCAGAAGTAAATGTTTAACGGACCACTGCGCACCAAGATTCTATAGTAGGTCATAAACCTGCTCGATACTTGGAATGATCAAAAAATCGAAAATGAATGTTATCCATACAAAATAATACTGTGGCCCGTATAGGGGCCACGCGATCCCAGGAGTACGACAGGGCGTGGCCCGTATACGGGCCACGCGGTCGTCAATGGGTTAAGGGGGAGAGATTTCATCACAGGGTCATTGTTTACAACACAACATCTCGTCAGGACGGATTTCACAACGTTCGCACGAGACGAATAGATAGTATGACCATGTGATCTATGATCAATGGTCGTATGAGGACATTGATGTTTACGGTGTCCAGACAGGGGTCTCCATCCAGGTTTCTGCCTGTCAACGAGTTGACCCCCCCCCCTCACCCTATCCATAGTCATTTCAGTGCCAACGTCGGAAAGAAGAGGCGACCTGTGTCATGCAGCTGTAGAATGCAAACTACCAGAAATCGGAGAAGCTATCAGATTTCCACTTAACAGTAGCCGTTGGAATGCCACGTTCACGGCGTCCTTATACGCATGTCGAAAATTCATCACGCTGTGGGGAGCAGAACATCTCAAAAATGGGCCTATCTCTAGAGCACGAAATCTTTTTCTAGCACACTGCATTAACGAAAGCCAGCGTGTAACTCTGCCCATGATTGCGGTTGCCTTGAGCTTCTTGGAAAGCTGAGGGAGGCAGATAGGGAAGCGGAAAAATCTGTTGGATAGTGCCGTTCGAAATGGAACTCCTATTAGTCATAGAAACAATATAACACTGAACGATTATTTGAAAATCGTACATCTGGGTTTACTATCTGAAGACCCAAAGGCCTGCTCTACCACAGCACTAGCCATACTGCTGTTTAGGCTTCCTACGATTCAGTGAAATCGAAGTTTAAGTGAGGTTCGAAGTTGAAGCCCAACCTCACATGCACGAGGAATACTTACTCAATTTATTGCTGAGTCGAAAACTTTTCAGGCACGACGGGGAGCTGTCGTAGCCGTTAGAATAGGAGACGAAGCACACCGT